ATATTATAATTATAATTGATTAGATGCGCGATATAACTGTCAAATTAAAGATGTTTTTGAAAAAAAATATAAATACCTTTATAAGCTATCGATATTGGATTTCTTGTCAGAAAAAACAGCTCTATTTTTATTAGATTATTTTTATGAGATCTTTAAAAATTGTGGAAAAAGCAAAATTGAAAAGAAAAATCAATATAAATTAGCTACCTTAGGAGAAATTGTTGACTCAAAATGTCTTCCAGCTGGATATAGTACTAGTGTATCCTCATTGCCAAATGCTTGCGATCACTGTAAAAAAAAAACTTGATGATGGTGAAGTTTTAGTTTGTAGGCATGGATACCATTTTGAATGCTATCAAAAGTTAGAGTATAGTTGTCATTATTGTAAAGAATATTATAAACGCAGAATATATAATAATGTGAATTTCTTTTTAAAACGATTGGAAAAAGGTCCAAATATACTTACCACTGAAGAAAAAAAAGGTGAAAATGTTGAAGATATCGCTAATGAAGATGATGAAAAGGCAGAAGAGATAGAAACAAATAAAAGCCAACAAGTACATGTAGCTTTTATAAATGCACTTAACCAAATTGGCATTTAGTAATATATCTAGATTCCAATCAATAAAAATCTGAACAAGTTAGCACTTGGTAATATAATATATCCATTAAATTCCCAACTAATAAATCATTATCGTAAAATATATAAAATATACTCCTTATGTAACTTGCTGGGCATTTGGATCCATTTAGATCTAAGGAATCCATACGAAAAGTTAGCTTCGAAAGAGTATATATGTGAAGTTTCATTACTGGTTATTTTGTAAAAAAAAAAAATTTTATAAAGATCAATCATTTTTTAATTGAACTTTATTGTAAAATGCATATAAATAATTGTGTAATAATATTAACCAAATTTAGACTTTATCTATGCTATCAATACCTGAGAAAACCTTATATGTATTTGTGAGCCTATAAGAGGTAAAAACTTAGTTTTTCCTGTGCACAAACATATTTAGGATGAAGAAAATGAATTCTTTCAGAAGCTTTAAGCGTTCTAGCATTCTAATCATCATAAAAATATTGATGTAATCGTAAACTTTTGACATATCTTGTAGAAGGACCCACAATTCTTTTTTGTTAGAAAGTGCGTCATTTTTTATGTTGTCTAAGATATGCAAGGGTTCAAAGGTGAAGCGGAAAGGAAGTCCTGCGAAATTATATCCTTTAAGGATGTTGTGTTAGACGAAAACAGTTGAGAGTCGCGTATTAATAAGTTTTATAAGAGCTTTTTTGGGCATTCCAGTAAGGTAATTGGTCTTGTATTATTCAGGTCAAATTCTCAGGGTTTAGGTTTTGAAATCAGATAAACATATGCTAAATTCTATTGATGCGGAAGTGTTAAAATTGATAAACAACCATATATTATATATTAAAAAATCTTTTTAGCTAAGGGATCCAAGTGTTTAAGTATTTTATTCGAAATCTTATATAGGCTAGGTGTTCTGCCATCAGTAAGGGAATTAACGATTGAATACCATTCTTTTGTTAAGGGTGACGACATCAGATTATTATATATACCAGAATTAATTTCTTCTAGTAAGCTGTATGAAAGGAGCCATTTGTCAGAGATGCTTTTCAATTCATATGTGATACCTACCGCTCTTTGAAAATGACCATTAACTGTTTGTTTAACTAAATGTTTATCTGTGAAGAGTACTTGAGCATTCCTTAACAAACATCTGTCTAGTATGATTGTCTTCTTTGTATGGTTTAATGTTGAATTTAGCATATTTTTAGGGTTGTTAGCATATGCATCTAAGCGTTAATCCAATTATTTCTGTATAAAGATAAATTTGTGTTCATTTTTATAGAGTTTGGTTTTGCATAAGAGGACTTTGAGTAAAAAAACTGTGTCTGACAAAATTAAATGGATAATCTGAGTGGAGATGCGTAGTGGTAAATACAAATGAGTTAGTAATATTGCGAAAATTATCATACATTTGTATTCAATTTATGGGAAATGATTTACCTTGTTTGATTTTGAGAAGTAACTTTTTAAATTTGTATAAAGTCTTTTGATGTGAGTATAATTTTTTGAGGCCAGGTGGCCTTAGATACTTGAATTGTCCTGACAATTTTCTGAGTGATATGCATTTTTCGGCTGCTTTAATCAACAAATCTTGAAAGAGGTCCTAGTGTTTATTGAGTAAGAAGTGCATTTAATACGTCTCTTGATTAATTATTTTAATTAGGCTACTATTTAATAACGCATTGAGTTTGTTTCAGAATTTGTTCTATAAGTTCTTGTTTATTTTATCGAAATTGAAACTGATTTTTCTAGGTATTTTGCATTTGTTAAATTTGATATCTAAGAAATTTGTAATTGTAGCAATAGCTATATGATGATTTGATATATTCATTCCAGATGTAACCATATGACAATTTACAGTCTTAAGCGAAAAGAATGGCAGAAAGTTTTTTTTGAATAATAAAAGTTTTTAATAAATAACTTTCAAAAATTTTTTTATTCTAAAATACTTTGATTAAGGAATTATACACTCAAATAATTAAAATATAAAAAGTATTTTCCTTCTCTATCAATCTGGATTTAAATACAAGTTAAAATACTAAAAAATTAGGAAGTTAGTCTTTCTTCATATTAATTTAACTTTATGCTTTCTATTTCCTACCTTTTTAGTTAAAATATATTGTTTCTATTGTAAAGTTTTTAGCTGAACAATTTTTATTAGTAGGTGAAGTTTGTTAACATAGTAAAATTTTTGTAATTTTAATTTTAATGATCAAATACTCAAATTTGATCTTGTTTCACAATCGCAAAAATTTTATTCATATCATAATATACATTGCAGACTTCAAACAAATACATATAGCATTCAGACTAGTAATGCAATAAAATACCATATAATTATTTATACAAATCCTTTCAAAAAAAAGTTAATTATATAGTAAAAGTTTGCACCGCTATTCTTTTTGCCAGGAACTGTAAAATTTTAAGGGAGATTTCAGCGGAAGTTCAAATGTAATTTATCCTAGAAGAGACTTAGCTCAAAAAATAAGTGAGAAAGTCAATTCTATTCTGATCGTGTTTGATTGTGAAAGTATCAAAAAGTGACAGTCTATAAAAATCATCAAAAAGGTTTAGGCTGTTTGTGAGATTGTGTATTTTATTTATATCAGTATTGAAGTCTTCCAGAATGATCAGATAAAAATCATTGATAGTGGCTTCTTTGATCCATTTGTTAAAAATCAGTTGGATTTCTTTTCTCATTTTAAGATCAGCTAACGGTAAGTAGCAATTTATAATACGAAGTTTTTATTTATTTGTGAATTGTAAATCAACATGAATGACTCAATTGAGTTTGATGTCATATTTGTAGATATGATGAGCAATCTTTTTGTTAAGTATTATTCTCACACTGAAAGCAATACGTTATTTTGGGGTTGAACTAAAAATAATATGAAGAAAGAATATGATGGATTAAAAATTTTTTCATGTTACATTTGAAGTTAGTTTCTTGAAGACCAATGACATCTAAATTGTATGAAGAATATAATGATAAAAAGTGATATTGTTTGGTAATGTTAGTGAAGAATTGAACGTTATGGGTTGCGAAAAAAAGTTTTGGTACATTAATGAAAATCGTATTAGAGTTATCATTTGGTAATGGGAATTTGTTGTTAATATCTGTAAGGACAGAAATCATAAAATATATTTTTAAAATTGGGGGAGGCCCTTCAAAGCCTTTTCTGCTTCTATATCATAATTAGTATTAAGGGTGTACGATATTGGTGTTTTGTCAATTTGAAATAAGTCATTATGAATGAGAACTGCACAGAACGTATTGCAAGTATTAACTAAGATGTTAACTGTTTCAGTGAAGTTTTTAAGGCATAGGTTTTGTGTGTCTGTGATTTCTGTAAGAGCTGCAATAATTTGTTATTGTTTACTAATGATTGACGTGAAAGCATCAACAATTGGGCCATTTCTGTATTGTTTTATGTCATAATCAGCCATTATTTTTTTCGTCAGAAAAGCTGATCTTAATATTGAGTGTTTGTTCAATTATCTCCATTCATTTCATAGTAGAACCCAAGGTAAGCATAAGATCATCAAGTTTTTGAATGAGTTGCAGAAAACTAGCTTTGATGAAATCTTTAAAATCACTATTGGTGTCTTTTTCATGCATAGAGCCTCCTGCTTTTGTTTCTGCAGAGAGATTATGTGATTTGTGATATTGCTGATGAGGTTGATTGCTTTGATGTTCTATATTTAGAGGAATGTCATCACTTCAATTTGGTGATGGGGTAGGTGACTGTTTTAGAAAACTATTTTTTGGATTCTTTAGCAAGTATCGTGGATCTGTAGGCTTACTAGTCTGATTAGTTGATTTCTGTAGACCATCTGTGATGATATTAACGAATGTAATATTAGGACTAATGGCTTCTTTATGAAGATGAACTGGAACTTTATAGTTGTTATATTGTGCTAGTTGAAATCTTTAGTATGAATGTTGAGTGCTTTTACCTTGAGGAGTGTGTTGAAGTTACAAAATACGTAACTGTGAAATCAAACTAAGAAGTAAAATGTTATTGGTCATCTTTAATATATCAGATGATTTAGCTTACATCTGTTTATCATACAGGTGTGCTAGATTGTAATCAAAGGTTGAATGAATAACTGAAGCAGATATGAATCTTGAAAGTCCTAATTTCTTTTTGAAGAAAGTTCTGAAGGAGGTTATGAGAGTGTCACAAACTAAATGAGAAACAAATGTAAGATTTGTCTTATATAGTATGCAAGGAATGATAACTGTATTAAAGATTGCAACTATGTGTTTAGCAGTGAGCTTTTTCTTGCTAAGTACATTTTTTGTCTTGGTAAACTCATCAAAAATTTGTTTGATAATGAATTGTCTATTATTAAACAAAGATACCCAGACTCTTAAATATCTAGTGGATTCCTTGTGATATAGTAGCGAGAGCCAGATGTTCTTATCATTGAAGTTAAAGTTAATGGGAGAAGAATCTTTGTCGTTAACCATAAGAACTAACTTATCCCAATTGACCTGAATGCTATTAAGTGTATAGAAGGAATCTGCTATACTTAGGGATGGTTAAGTCCGTCCTGATCCGGTCTTGGTCCTAGAACCTATAAGTCCTGTTGAATAAACCTGTGGATCAGGTCCTGATAATAAGTCTCAGGACTTGGTTCTGGACTTGGTTCTAAGACTTAAGTCTGACTAGTTTTTTTGTCCAATTAACAGGTTCACATTATCAAATACTAAAATTGATATGATTCATCATTTTGGACCATTCGGAGTTCAATTTTCTGAAAAAATACTTCTTTTTTATCATGAGCATTAATACCCAGAAAATATAATAGTTATTTACTGCGTCAGGCGCAGCCGTGACGTAATAAAAAACTAACACATGTCATCATATTATAGTTACACAATTTATGAATCAGAAGACATGAATCATTAGAAATTTATTACTAACACGAATATGAATGGATATATATAAACCGCAATCGCAAATATTTTATATTTCGTCTTTTTCTCCCACTAAGAATATTTTC